ATTATCCTTTAAAGTGCTTAGATTCATTTCATGAGTTGTGTTGTTGGTCTAAGCATATGGTCTTGAACCACGCCGGGGCCACGGAATTAACCCTGGCCCGATTACGCTTCCTTGACACACGCGATGAAGAAAAATACTGGAGACAACCGTTTAATCAACCACGTTGGTGTCGTTGTGTCGTGTGTGGGGTTTGCGCGTGTGTACTCAGATATGTGAGCCGTAGATGCGCTAACATCGAGATCTAGGTGCGAGGGTAATCTAAGATAATCGTTCGTGTGAATGAGGGGGGAGTTGAGGATCCGCGCGGCTGGCGACATAATGCGGAAAGGGGAACCCTATGTCGGAGGTGGAGCGACCGGATTAGGGGGTGTGAATAAACACGATTCACAACAGTTGGTTTGCATAGTTCGATCTTGCTTGGGAAACAACGTGCTTGCAGAATCAAATAGCCCTCGCTTGTGGGGTATAAGCATTGACCCATTGCGTAAAATTTGCGAGGTTAATTAAAACAGAGGTTTTGACTGCGATACCGTCTAACTGGGACCTCCAAAAAGGTATGTTGCTCGTATTAACGGACAATTCATTAGGTAATTCAAACTTTAGAATAATAAGTTGATTCAATCGAGTTGATGAGCATGTTTTGGTTTTTCGAATCCGAAAACAGTGACGTCTGATAGATTCACTTGGGTGGGGGGCTTGTGGATAAAATTCAAGCTCATGACGATGCAACAAGTTACAATTGTCGTTGACACAACAGATATCATGTCAAGATGCGTCATCAATCTAATCTCGTGGCAACTGATCCTGAATACATGATAACTTTACATGTTGATGGTTTGCATTATAACCTTGAGCGTTGTTACTACGGCAACATTTTGCTCGGAGAAGACTTAGCAACACTTCCCACACAGAGAATCATGCAAGAATTCATTTGACTCGAGTAGTAAACGCTAATGTCAGCTTTGTTGAATACAAGAACTGAATCTAAATAGGGAGGCACGGACTGCTATACTGTGCAAACGGTGACAGTTAGCAAAATGTGGAAATCAGGTAACTTTCGAGATTCACAGAAATGTTTTCACAATCGTTAATACATTAACACGATTTGATCACCTTAGCCCCCACAAACAATTTTTGAAAATGCCGTGACAGATGGCTTCCACCTTCTGAACCTTCAAGTCAATGAAATGCGGCAGTCGTAAAAAGTGGATCCACGATTTATCCACAGTCTTTATTATAAAGCACTTCAGCAGCTACCATTAAATAGTTGAGTTAGTCATAATTATTTTTGTTTAAATTTGAATGTAAAGAGCTACGATCAAGGGGGGATTATTATTGGAACCATAGAATACTCGAGCACTAGTACGAAAGAGACTGGTACAATGGACAGTCTTCATTGGCAAATCACAAGCCTGAATTGTACGTCAGGCGTCGTCAATCCAACGCCATCACTCAGGCTGCGCAGCCCAAATTTCAGTGCCCTGCATCAGTTCTTATCTTTAATCGGCTGCAGATCCATGACATAAGCTGTTTAAACAGCCAAAGGATGCTTTATGCGCGAAATAAACATGTCTGCGTCCACATACGGCACGACAGAACAACAGGTGAAGGTTTGCGGTTGTGTTACGTTGTGCATTTTTTTCAGATATGGGGACGTTTGAACATAATGTGATGTCGTTTGAAAGTGGCAACAATCCATTCGAAACTGATCATTGACACAACTGTTTTTCAAATTCTGGAGAGGCCTTTCCCAGGGGAGGCGCTGTCGCTTACAACATGATGGCAAAAAAGCACGTACAGAGAAAGTTAGTGACAAAGGGCGTGAGAAGGCGTCAGCAGCCACAACGACTGTGGGGTCGAAAAAGCGGACCAGCACGTGATGTCCCCTTTTTTGAAGGCTCACACCCAATTCTGTTGTTTTACTTCCGTTTTCATCTAATTAATGCAAGTCTCCATGCCGCTGATATAACCTGGTCTCGGTTTTTGTCCAGCCACATGAAATCGCAATTCGATTTGCTGTTTGCATCACTTGATTTAAAAAGAAAATTGATTGATTTTAAAATTGCTCCCGACATTCCCCAACAAACGAGGCTCCCTTTGTAGAAAATCAATAATTCGCTTGACTGGAATGCATGCAACTAAAGTAAATTTTAGCCCAAGTTAATTTGGATGCTCGTTGGCTTATTCGAATGGTTTAGCAGACTTCCTGAGAAGACAATACGGGTGAGCGAGTATTTTAACATGTGCTGGCGTCAGCTTTTTTAAAAATCAAGAAATCACGAGTTTTGTTACACCGAAAGTTGTTCTGAACAGCACACTTTTCACTGATTGCAGATTCTGTCTAGGCTTTTTCATGGGAGTACGTTTTGATATGCAAAACATTGGTGTCGAACCGTACTCAGAGAAAGTAGATGTCATAAATCAGGCGTCCCCAGCTTATGGGAGAGAATTTACTCACAAAACGGAGCCCAACGGTGATCGTCGTTGCTCTGCAGATTGTTAGTATCTCCGCAGAGTGGATTTTGCTACCATTACTCACGTATCAGTTATGTTCCCACGTGCCCCTACATACGAAACATTGGTCAAGGTTTCACGTTCTGCTGATTCCAGTTGCGTGATGAGACTTCATGCCACATGGTCGAAACTGACGAACAAATCTACAAGCTCCAAGGAACTTAAGGTGGAACCATTTAAATGATTTTCATGCTGGACACGATTTTTTACTTTGTAAATCCTATTTTGCAAACTTAATTGGTTCTGCTCAAGCCATTACGGGCAAACTGCTAAACGTGCAAAGTTAAAAGAAGACCAAACTAAACGCACCAATTGGTGTAGGCTTTAGTATGTGGTCTTGAACCACGCCGTGGCCATTGAATTAACTCTGGCTCGACTACGTTTTCCTGATTCCCGCGATGAAAAATAAGACCTTCAAAGCTGAACCACGTTGGTGTCGTTGGTGTCACAAGCATCAAAACCTAGGTGTGACGATAATCCAGGATAAACGTTCGTGCTAATGAGGGGAGAGTCGGGGATTCGCGGCGCTGGTGACACGCTGCGAAAAGGGGGACTGGGGTGATCGGATCAGCGAGTGTGTGAATCAACGCGAATCAGAACAAGCATTAATCGCGATCAACTTAATCCGATAAATTTATTTAGGCATGTGTGAACATCACCACGAGATTCGTCACGGTAAACATGCTCTGCTGGTTGCGTTGATAGCGCCATGATTCGAGGGAAGACAGCATCTCAACTGACTCGACATCCACATCAGTCATCAACGATTAATGCCACCGATAACCATGTCTTGGCTGCGCCTTCTCACAACACTACCAAAATGAGCAAATAGTCTTTATTCAGGTGACAAAAAATACCTCTTGATTTGTCTTCACTGGTGTCTACACATATTGCAATTCACGTCAGCAATCTGCTCGCCTGAGTACCTTCGAAGAACTCGCATGAAAAGCTCAGGACTCACACTGACGTGAACTGGCAGCGCCGCATTTACTGACTCGAACCTGCGCCACTAATGGACTGAGGGCTTGACATTAAAAGCCAATCGGATTCTCTCATAACAGAATTGGCTGATGCCACGCAAGGATTTTCTTAAGCACCATATCACCTAACTGCCAACATTTTGTTGGCAGATTGGAAGCAGGTTGGCGACGCTTTGCAAACAAATCAAGGCATATCACTGCATTGTCCAAGGTTAAAATCGAGTTCTGTTCTTATTCTGCAACACCGTCTGGCAAAGGGTTGCCTTCGTTCTACAGAATTAGTCATAATTTAGCAGACGTCATTCTTCTCTCACGTGACGAAGATTGCCAGCGGCAACAGTCTCCATGGAGACGTTGATTGGGCTTCACACTGACACTGATGCAGTAGCTGAAATTGTTGTCCATGTCACAATGGTCTGCTACAGCTTCTATGCACATAGTGTGAGCAGAGTCTTGAATTAGACAGTTACACGAATTTTTATTTTGCCCATTTGCTTCAAAATTGGTTGCATCCCGCACTCAAAATTCATGGTTAATCGGTACCAAAATTTTCAAAATAACAGGATCTCAAGATTCAGGGGTAAAATGTGCACAACATCAGTCCAAAACTACAGTTAATATAAAATTTTTTGTGATTTCGCTTGGGACTTCCCCTTTTCCACTGTTTCGAAGAAGGAAGTGGGTTGATTAGTTCAGCTACTTGACTTGGTGTATTCGTGCTACATCGTGAGAGTACATTAAAAGGATTCAAGCGCGAGACGTGATGCTGATAACTTCTAAAGAGCTACAGTGATACATCATCGGCAGAGGATGGGAGTGCTGTGAGAACGTCTTAGGATGATCCGAGCACATGGACACCAAGATTTCGCCAATTTTTCGATTCTTCTGTGCTTCCGCGCACTTATGGGATCAACCTGAACGTAAATCATGATTGAATCCATGAGTATTTGTCGAAATGTGACAATGAAATCAAAGGGCATTGGGTCAAGAATCAAGTCAGTTGATAATTATGGGGTGTTAACGTTGGCCTGCTGATAGTTGCTCGACAAGAAGACAGAAGGTGCGACAGTCGCTAACACTGGGACGAGAAGAGCAGCCAGTTCATACCTACGAGGATAAGCTGTCGGCATAATCTCGTCTCATTATGGGGTGTTAACGTTGGCCTGCTGATAGTTGCTCGACAAGAAGACAGAAGGTGTGACAGTCGCTAACACTGGGACGAGAAGAGCAGCCAGTTCATACCTACGAGGATAAGCTGTCGGCATAATCTCGTCTCATTATCAACATTTGCTAACCGAAAAACACAGTTCCTAACCTATCACGTCGAGTCCAATAAGCTGTAACGACAGCGAGTCAGAATCGATTATGGCAACTAGCAACCCCATTGGTTCACGAGGGAATCGAGATTTGAAACGTGGTATAAATGCAAGCAAGCAGACGATTGCTAAGCTCGTGAGGACGTCAGCGTTACCAATAGCTCGACTATCCGATAATCTATACTCCGAAATGTACGCGGGACCACGCTATAACCCCTACAGTGTAATGAACATGGCCAACCCAGAAATATGGTTCTCGAAACTTGAGGCTCGTTTTTATCTTCAAGGCATAACCTCGCAACTGGACAAGTATTATTATGCCGTGGCAGAACTACCCAGCAATGCAGCAATTGAAGTCGCTGATCTGCTCAAAGCCGTACCAGAGGGGAACCCGTATGACCAGTTGAAACACGGAGTTATCACGCGATTGAAGCAAATTAACGAAGAATGTCAACAAAGGGAATCGTCCAGTGTTCGATCGGGCAATGCTGTGCTGCCGAAAATGCACCAGGTGGCTGAGGGCTGGAAGATCGATGACACAGGACCGCGCCAGACGGGGACGGAAAGAACAAGGCGCGTTATTGGGGAGTCTGGCCCTGCCATACCTCCCAACAAACCAGCGGAATCGGCTAGTGTCAACAAAGACCCTAAAGCAGTTGAACATCCGACCACACAATTTAGGGAATTTTCTTGGGATTTGGATATTAATGGCGTTATTCGGGACTTGGGAAAAGTGATGAATGTATTGACTACTGTAGGAGACCAGAAACGATGAAAATAGGTTTCTGGTTCTGCAGCTTGAATAAAATAAACTCGGATCATTTTAACGCCTTGTTGGTTCTACCGATGGAATTCCAGCAAACTTTAGCTGAGATATGTTCTCGTTTTGGCCGGGTGCACGCATTTGGTCGAATGGCAGATTAGGCAAAATAAGACCTAACAGAACTGCGTGCATTCAGCGGAGCAAGCTCCAAATGGTTTAACCAATCAAGAACCATGGAAGCCAGTACCAAATCGGAATCTGGTCAACGGTTATGGTTTGTGTTGTTTAGACAATCGTTCATTGTGACTTAACTTAGCGCTCCCACGTCTAATCATGAATTCCGTATCAGTATAATGCCTTGCAGGCCGTAGCAAACCACGAACAGAGCCGAAAGAGGTCACGGCTTTAGGCGGATCAAGTTAGTGTGTGTGGACGTGTGAGCGTGACCAACAGCCTACTGCTAACAGTAAAGAATGAGAAACGGGTGAGCCATTGGCAAAAAGAGATCAGTGAGCAAGCCCAACTCACGCGCGGTCACTGCCAGTCCACAAGACAATCATGTCTGTTGGTTGAGGTCAAGACTGCTCATGCCGCATGACGTGGGTCAGCCGTTGGCAGTGACTCATGCGTGCTTTGTCCATCAACTAGTATGGGACAGAATTGTCGACGCAATGAGACCTGGGGTCTAAGTGTGTTTCTGTGTGTAACGTGGCACAGTCAGCTAGTGTAGCCACATAAGCTGAAAAATATGCTATCAGGGATCGTGGTAATGGGGATTAGCATGCGTCTGCGCACTGCTACAAATCTTGAAATCTCGTTTGCCTTGACACGTTTTCTTAGCCGAGTCACGGTCACTCACGTCCTGGAAAGTTTCCCATCTTATTGGTTAGAAAAGGTTAACTAGAAATCCCCAATGGAATGTGGTTTTAGTATTACATGCTATAATTGATCTTGTCAAAACTAAACATGGGGTAGTCCAGAAAAGTAACGGGCTATCATGACACGAGACAGGCGTTAACACAATGGGGGAGTTACCACCCACAAGGATAAACAGCCGCTAGTTATCACACCAATATTTACGCCTGACAGCACACAGTTCCTTATGCGTCACATCGAGTCCAGTCATCTGCAACGACAGCGAATCAGAATCGAATGTGGCAAATAGCAACCCCATTGGTGGTTCACGGGCGAGTCGATATTTTAAACGGACTATAAATACAGGCAGGCAAACGATTGCCTAGCGGGTGGGGACATTAGCGTTACCAATAACTCGACTATCGGATAGCCTATACTTCGAAATGTACGTGGGATCCTACAGTAACTTCAACAGTGTAATGAACGTAGGCAAACCAGAGATATGGTTTCTGCAACTTGAAGCTCGTTTTTATCTTCAAGGCATAACTTCGCAACTGGACAAGTATTATATTGCCTTGACAGAACTACCTGACTCTGCAGCAGTTGAAGTCGTTGATCTGCTCGAAACAGTTCCAGAGGAAAACCCGTATGACCAATTGAAACAAACAGTTATCACACGATTGACCGAGGTTCACAAAGCTCATATTCGAAACCAACTGAAGTTTTTTCGATTGGCCAACATGCAGCCGTCAGAACTTCTGACGCGGATGCGAGAGGTGGTTAAAGACTCAATCGATGAAGCGGAACTGTGCCAGACGTGGACGAAGTGCCTGCCGAAGGAGACAAGGCGCATCATCGAGGACTTTGGTAAGGGCAGACCTCTCGATAAGCTGGCGGAAATGGCTGATCTTGTGCACGCGGACTTGGCAGCAGCAGCTAAATACCAGATCCCGCAATTAGGCGGAGCCATAGAAACAAATGCTCTCAGTTTCGCCGTAGCTGAAATAGGAAAATTGACAGAGACGTTAAACATGTTCTTGAAACGTCTGAAGAGAGCACAATTAAAGTAAATGTCTGTTTTCGTTATTTACCCACCATAACGTTTCCTAAGTAAAAAATGTAGCTAAAGTGAAACTTTCTGCTTAACTTATCGTCTTTTTGATTCTACGGACGGAATAACTGCTTAAGGGTTTGTTATGCCTCACAGTAATTCCGTGGTTTCGATTGAATCTTACTGAGGTAGGCTTGAACACTCTTTCGTGACTTGCCGCCTGTCAATACTCTAGCAGACTCGTTGTGACAGATCCTAGAATTTGGCTTGTGAATGTCCGGTGCTTAGCTCTAGCTCATTGCAAACGCCTTAAATGCAGGAACTAGAGAAAGATGCTATCGTTTTAATGAGTTACACGCATTTGGTCGAAGAAGAGATTTGGCAGAATAGGTTCTAGGAGAGCCGCGGGCAGTCAGCCGAGCAACCTCGAAATGTTTTGACCAATCAGGAACTAAAGAGGTCAGTGCCAAATCGGAATCCGGTCGAGAGTTATGGTTTGTGTAGTTTAGACAATCGCTTATTGTGAATTAACTTAGCGCTACCACGTCTAATCATGAATTCCGCATCAGTATAATGCCTTGCAACTTCGCCGATTAGCAGGTCTTAGCAAGCTGTGAAAAGTCGAAAGAGGTCACGGATTTAAGCAGATCAGGCACTAGCAAACCGACAGCAGTAACAGGAGACGTCTACCAAGGTTGTGAGTGTGCGACTGTGTGAACGTGAAGGCCAGTCGACTACTAGCGAAAAGGAGTGAGTCATTGACACTCACGCTCGATCGCTGCCAGTCCACAAGACAATCCCGTTGGCGGGTTGAGGTCCAGACTGCTC